AAAAAAAAAAAAAAACATTTTGTTAGAACAACAAAAGTCAACATTTGTTTACCAAAAATATTGTATTTGATGGTTCAAAGTCGGGGACCCTCCCCACAGATATAGGGCTCGCCAATTCTGCGTTGTTCGACGCCTATGTCTCGGTGTGAGTCTTCATGGTTCTGAGGTGGGGTCGCTCAACAGGCTCTGACTTGCCTCTTCGGAGCTTGTCGGGACTAAATCATGGCTCCCTCTCCCTTCGCTCGGCCTTTCTGGTTTTGGTGGTCTGGGCATTTGGTTGGTTTGTTGGGGTTTGTTGGCTGTGTTGTGGGGTTTTGGTGGCCGGTTGGGTTGATTGGGTGGTGGGTTGGTTGGTCTTCGGTGTGCTGCCGGTGAGTGGGAACTGTCGGGGTTTTTGTTATATTTTTGTGGTATTTTATTGTATTTTATGTGCCTTAGTTGAGTCATTTTTAGCTTGATTTTGTGTCAACCGGTCTATTTTATTGTATTTTATGCGTTTTCATTCTCGTTATGTGTTTTAGTTTTTTTTCTTATTTTCTTGCGTACTTTTGATGTGATTATGTCCTTTTTGCACGATCGAGAAGACGAGCTATTATCCGAGCCATTGTCCATGATTTCGATGCCGAGCCGTTTTGAGACAAACCAACCGAGCCACTTGTTCGAGCCATCTGCACCACCAAATGCACGAACTCGCTGCGAACCCACATTGGCGACCGCAAAAGCGCCGTGCCTACACTACTCCATGCCCACACTCTCAGCGAAAATGATTTCGGAAGACGCGAAAGCGCCAACCATGCCTACACTACTCCATGCCCACACTCTCAGCGAAACTTATTTCGAGACCCGCCAACTGAAGGGTTTCATTAAATGTGTGTGTTTGCGGTGTAGCTATAAATAGACATTGTACTTTGTATTTTTGTGATATCACCCTCATTTCTCAACTTTTTAGTTGAGAAATCCTCTCAATTTTCTCTCTTTTATTTTTATGCTTTAGTTGGAGGTTCATAACTCTACTTTTCCGGCGAAATTACGGCACACTTATTTTTATCCAAGTTCTGAGCTTTCTTCATTATTTTCGTCCGGGCACGCGATAGGAGAGTAGGTACCTTACTTAGGACTGACACGCGATAAGAGAGTAAGTACCTTACTTAGAACTTACTACTTCGAGTTTGTTTTTCGAATTATGTGTTGATGCTTGTTTTTAGGTTTTTGCTTTATTTTCATTGCTTGCTTCGTATGTTAGGAATCAATACGTGCTAATCTAGTAAAGGTCTCGACTTTGCTTCAAGCGTGATGATTTAGTGTAAATAGCTAGTGTTTGGTTACCTAGGATCACTATGCTCGCATGTTTTCTTGTGTTTATTTTCATCTTTTGTGAGTTATGGATACTCCGTGCAACTAAAGTTTCGATCTTCTTTCCACTCTTGCATTTCTCATTATTTGCTTTTAGATTGTTAGTTTAATTTCATGCAATCAATTTTCATCAAGCGAGTAGAATGTGTAGGACCTTATTTTCGGTTATGTGACTTTGACGACTAGGTAGTTAACGAAGCTCATAATAGCTTTCCTTTGAGAACGATCCGAGTCGGATAGCTCGATCACTATCTACCCAAAAATACTACAAACACGGGGTCATCCTCTGGCTTTAGCTCCAAAGCAGTCCGTTCGGGAGAAGACTTGGGTCATCTGGTGCGGTTCCAGCTAGCCGTGGCTACTCTGGAGTTTTTGAGCAATGCTGGGGCCTAAGTTCTATCTGGCTGGGTGGTTGTATGGGTGCCGGGCTCAGTGTTTGTTTCGCTTGCGTTGAGGAGGGTGTTAGTTTATTTATATGTGTTATGTGTTGTGCTTATGTTAGGTGTTTGTGTTCGTTGTTTTTGTTGTAATTCTGTTGTGTTTCCTTTTGTGGGAGTTGGTTCTACTCTAGTAGGGGTTGCATTCCCCCTTGGGAGTGTTTGTTTGCGTTTAATTTTACTCTTGTAGGTGCGTTAGCGTAGTCTCCTTAAGCTCCCGATTGAAGGGGTCTCGTACTAGATTCTACTAGATGGTTGTTTGGCTAATTCTAGTTGTTTTCTAATTATAATTATATTTTTTTTTCTTTATATTCTGCGGTTTCCAAAAAAAAAAAAGAACTGTAACAAATATTATTTTATTGTATTCACATTAACAATTACAGTAATATTCAATACTTCATCACAAATTATTTGTAGTTTTAGGTATAAAATTAATTCATCCAAAAATACTTTTAAAATGTGAGATATAATATATAATATATATACATATATATATATATATATATATATATATATTAATTTTGAAGAGAATCAATTTAAAAAAAAATTGAAAAACATGTTGAAATTACATTCAATTTAATTGGTATTTGCCAAACTGAAACAGGATATACAAAATTATGCTTCCTGCATTTGCAGTATGTCCCATGGACAAATTTTCCTATAAATCAGAAAGAAATTTTACCTCTATTAAGAAAATGTGAAGAGAAAACAAAGGTGCATCCATATCGACCAACAAGCCGAAGAACGTGAAAAGAGCTGTTCTTATCAAACAATTGCAGCCGGGCAGCTAAAAATCGATGATGGCTGCACCACTCGATGGCTTGGATGCAAAAATATATAGCCCGAGATCGTTTTTCTTT